TGTAGCAAAATAGGATGGACCAAAATACCCCCACCCACTTCTGTATGGTGATGGACAGCCTTGACTTTCACTGAGTTTTATTGATAATGAGGGTTTGTAGGCACCATCTGAACTTCATGACGTTAGATTTCTAGTCTGTAAATTTGTGGTGCTGAAGGAACACACCCATATGGGAAAATGTTGAAAGAGTAGTTCATAGAGAACACAGAATGAAGGTCCAATTAGTTCTGTACATTTTTAAACTCAATACAAAGTTTTAGCTTGCAAAATTGATTCTTATGTCCAGATTCAGTTGAGTCTTCAAGTACTTGTGAAATCAAAGTGTGCTTCAACTGTAAGACTGGGTTGATTTTAGCTGCTTGCTGGAACTGATGTGATGATCTTGCCTTTTTGGAAACAGGTGACTGTTAATGGTGAAAGGGTTCATATCCCCTATTCGAGCAGTTTGTTTGAAGTCACTGTCTATGGAGCAATAATGCATGAAATCAAGCTCTCCCATCTTGGACATAATCTCACATTTACTCCAAGAAACAATGAATTTATTCTTAAACTTAATTCAAAGAGCTTTTCTTCAGGAACACAAGGGCTTTGTGGTAAGTTTGAAAGGTAGTAATTTTAAGAGCTTCCTACTTCAGCTTGAACTACTATTTATATTTTTGTAATTTTGTGTGGTCCTGAACCTTTACACTCTCTGGCTGAACTGATCCCCCCATTTTTGGCACACTGCTATTCTGTATAAGTTGTTCTACTATGGCCATCAATGTAACAGCTCATTGACTCCCAGTAATAGAAACAACAGGTGAGACATGGCTTATGTTTTGTTTATTTTCATTATCTTTTCAAAGAGTTGTTTTTTTTTTTTTAGATGAGGGTTTAACTTCAGTTTCTTACTTTTACTTTAATGTGAGAGACATGACCTATGCTTGCAGTGAAGGTGAAGGGTTTCTGAGGGGTGCTACTACCTGGGATAATTAAATCTGTGGTATCTTCAATGATATAATCCATTATATAGCTTATGCCTTTGTGGCATAACCTAGAACTGCTGTAACAAGGAAACAGGAAACAAGGCTCAGGAGTTTTATGCCTCGACTGATAATAGCTGCAAGGAATATTGT